GAAGAAGTTGTTTGTCATCATCAAAAAGGGGGAAAATGCTATTTTGATGTTTTGATATTTTGATGATTTGACAAACTTCGGGGATGATGAAGCTCCAGTTATCCGAAAAGTTCTTGTTGATAGGGGGAGCTAGTGAATAAGTCAGTTATCATCAAAAAGGGGGAAAATGTTAGTTCGGAGCTAATATTAAGTTTTGATGATTTAACAAACTTAGGGATCTAACAAGGAACAGATCCTTGTTATAATTGGGACTGCTGACAGTGAAATGAATGAATAAACTCAGTGTGAGGAATATTTGTGTGTCATCATCAAAAGGGGGAAAATGTTATATTCTAGGTGTTTTGATGATCCTCACAAATGTAGGGACCTGGTCCCTGGAAGAGTGCTCTCGTCCAAATGCAAATGGGGTACAGTTGTAAAGCTGTCATGTCAGGTGGTAGGTGAAAAGTGCAGTGTCCTACACCAATAGGAAGAGCGGACGAGATTGTCTGTTTCAGTGTCTCAAAAATGCAGGGACCTGGTCCCTGGCTGAGTTTTGTCGTCCAGATCTATAATGGGGTACAAATGTAAAGTTGTCGTGTCAGAGGTTGGTGAGGCGTCAGCGTACTACACTAATCAGAATGGACTAGGGTGTTTGTCCAACGGGTAATAACTCTTTATGGTTGATATTTTCTACATGACAAACACCATATTAAATTCATTCATCCAAAGAAGGAAGTCAGCCAGCAAGCCTTTCAAGAACTATAAAGAAGTTTGCAAGGGACCTGGTCCCTGTAAGATTGCTTACGTGAAAGGGGACAAGACAGTTGTTAGAAAAGCTGCTATGGTAGGTGCACGACTTTTCTTACAGCAGGCCTTCAGCCAATAGGATTGTCTCAACGAGTTTGTGTTGATTTATATAATCTCTTTCCAAAATACACAAACTTAAGATTTGGCAAACTAAAACTCAAAAGCTTAAAAGTGAAGGCCATTTTCAAGGAAGAACTCAAGCACAAGAACACATACAGCAAGGACCTGATCAACAGAAGAAGTGCTTTCCGTACCTGATGTTGTTCTTGATTGTTTGTATTGAGCTTAACTTGTAGGATTCGTTTCATTGATTGTCAGAAATGTTTCAAACTTTGTTTGAGTCTTGTAAGAACATAATTAGGAGTAACTTTGTGTCTTACGGTCAAAAGTCTATATTAATCAATGAGGGTTAGTATAGTGGGCAGTGTTATATCTGCTTAGGATCATTTAAGTAATAGGTTGTATTACTTTTTGTGGAGATTAGTATGTTAATCTCAAGTTGTAAACTGGTTTTTACTTTTGCTTTGAGAAGATTAGTGAAAGCAGTTTGAAAAGTCATGTGTGACAAGTCGTGGTTTTACTCCCTTGAGCAAAGAGGTTTCCACGTAAAACATTTGTGCAGATCTTACTTCCTGTTGTTTACTTTCTGCATATATTTTAGTTACTGTTCTTGCTGAGTCAAGGGACCTGGTCCTTGACTGATAAGTGGACGCACACATTCCAACAAACCACAAAACATAATATAATTAAATGAGAGGCTAAAGCTTAGCAACATATATCAATAATAGACAAGCAAGTGAAACACTTGACAGAAATAAATATTGATAGACGAGATTCAGTGCATTTTTATGAGTAAGCTGTTGCAGTTGTGAAGTTGTATGAGATTAATGTGCGTCTACTAATAATACTTTTATGTGACCAGAACACTATATCAAACACAATTCTCTCTAACTAAACAGAACAGACACATGAAGAAAAACAATAAAATGAGTGAAGACAAAACAAAAGTAATTTGAAGCATTAAAGTTGAAAACATGCATCCGTACCTCTTTAGGAAGTGTTTCAGATTCTCTAGACAAGGAGTTGAACTTAAGAGTTTGTCGATGCCAAGGAAGGTATGTTTTTTAATCCAAGAATTTATTGTCAATCGCTTGCACTCCAACAATGGTAATGAAACATCTTCTTTTTGCAACACCATCATCGAAATCATCTACATAGAAGATAGAAGTAGATTCATCTAAGTATATTGAGTATCAGAATATCAATTTATAAGGCTTAAAAACATACCAAACTAAATAACACTAGTAGGCCCTCATCTAGTTTTTCTGTCGTGCAATTTAGTGCGTGATTTACTTCTAGGTTTTGCTGATGACCTACTCTTTTTCTTGCAAAGGCAAACTTCATTATATGATTGCTTCAACCAATTCTCTCAATCTTTTGGACTTGTTGCCAATTTGTGTAACAGTTTTGTATATTTTCGAGGTGCCAAGCCAGAAACTCAGGAACAAAGGGGAGAGATGTCTTTTAGATACTCTAAGCACCAAAAACTGAGTGACCATTGGCTAGTGAAGTATATTATCTGTTGTATTCTAGGTGTTTTGATGATCCTCATGCAGGGACCTGATCCCTGGCAGAGTTATTCTCGTCCAGGTGCAAAATGGTGTACAACTGTAAAGTTGTCCTGTCAGGTGGTTGGTGAAGCAAGTCAGTGTACTTCACCAATAAGAGCTGACGAGGTTGTTTGTCCATTGGTCAACAATTCTTCTTGATTGATATATTCAAAGGAACAAACAACTTTATGATTCATTCATCAAAAAGTGAGCAAGAGAGTCTTTCCAAGAAACCAAGCTTCAAAATACAGACACAATAAGGGACCTGATCAACTGAAGAAGTGCAATCTGTGTGTGTGCGCTGTCGTTTTGAATGCTTGTACTGTGCTAAACTTGTATTTGTTTCACTCCTATAAGAAACGTTTCAAACACTTGTGTGTAGTAAGTGTAAGAACATTGTTAGAGTTAACTTTGTGTCTTACCGTTTGAAGTCTATATTAATTAGTGATAGTTAATATAGTGGGCAATGGATGCATTGCTTTGGCTCAGTAAGTAATAGGAGTATTACTTAGTGTAGAATTAAGAGTTTAGCCTCATTGGTGTAGTTGAAATCTGTATTCACTTCTGCTTGTAATGAGTGAAGGCAGTTGAAATCTTGTGTGACAGGTCGTGGATTTACTCCATTGAGCAAGGACGTTTCCACATAAAATCTCATGTGCCTATTTTACCTTGAGTTATTTATTTCCTGCACTCTATCTCTATCAGGGACCTGATCCAGTGATCCCAGTGGACTCATACATTCCAACATTATCTCCCTGGCAGGAAACTTACTGGCATGATTTTGAACTTCTATCCTAGTTGATTAGTCTGTTATGAGGAAACAGGTACAATCAAGAGTAGATGTTTGTGCTCCCAAAATCAGGCATGTTTTTTCTCCTTGAGACATGAGTACAGTGATATCATACCAGCAACATCTCTTTGTTCATTAATCTATGCTAATTTGTCACAAGTTGCACATTTTTACACCAAATGAATCACTATGTGATCTATTTCACTAAACTTAGAATAAAACTTAGGAATAAGACATAAGTACCCCTAGACTATAATCGAAATTCCAGAGACACACCTAAACTTAATTAAGGTCTTATTACCCCCATAACTCATTTTTTTCGTTATTTTGCACACCTTTTGTGCTGACGTGGCACCTTCAACTACCCAAGTTGGTTGTGTTTGTACACACTCGCCCGCCATGTGTGTAAATTATTATTTTTTAGTTTTTAATTAAAAATTAATTTTTAAAAAATATTTTTTTTTAAATTAATTTTTAAAAAATATTCTTATTTTCTTTATCTTGTATTTAAATTAAGTTAATACACATTTTTTACCTTGTATAGAAACTTTTTTTTACCTACATTCATTATTTTTTCTCTTTTATTTTTCTATTGATTTTATTTTCTTTGTCTTTCGTTTTGATTTAATTTCAAATTTAATTCCAAATGTCTTGTATTTAAAATAAGTTAATCTTGAACAGATATCAAAATAAGTGAAGAAAATCAAATAAAACATAAAAAAATTAAAACGTTAAAATTGAAGGAAGACGTTCAAGTAGTAAGTAAGATCAGCATGGATCAAAGACGACAGGTCGCTGAGAATAATTTCCACACCATCAAAAACCCCTGAAATCTTTAAATGTTGAACAAATGGAGTAACAATTTCAAAGTAGTAACAATCAGCTTCGATACAGTAGGGAGAATGTCTGTAATCAATCAATTCCAGTCTCGTACATTTTGAGGAAGTTAAGTGCAAACAATGAAAGCCACAAAAGTCAGATGGCTTCAAAGATTCCAACTGATGACAATTCGATGTTATTTGTTCATCACTGAGAGCGGTAAATGATAGCGTTAAACTTTTTAGGGAAGTCCAATTGAGTATACAATCTTCTGGTATTATGCCATAGTTGCATTTTAGTTTTATAATTGATGAACTGCTGCAAAGATCCTGTGGCAAGCTATACACATTAAATTAGGGATAAGGCTCAAATACCCCCTACACTATGATCGAAATTCCAAAGACATACCTTAACTAAACTTAGGTCCTATTACCTCCTGAACTTAATTTTTTTGTAATTTTGTACACCTTTTGTCTTACGTGGCACACTCCGTGACTCCACGCAATTGAGGCGCGTGGGAAATATTTGGATGCCACGCAAGCCAACAAGGTGCACAAAATTACAAAAAAAAAATAGGTTCAAGGGGTAATAGGACCTTAGTTTAGTTAAGGTGTCTCCGAGATTTCGGTCATAATTTAGGGGGTACTTGTACATTTTCCCCATTAAATTATAAAATAAGTTGGACTCTAAATTACTATTATATGAAATTTACAAGGATTCTTATTTGGAAACTTTACTTACTCGGTAAGTGAACAAAAATAAAATAAAATAAAAAGAAATGAGAAAGTTTCCTAAATGAGTCATAGCCAAAATATGATTATTAGAAAAGCTTTTGTGATCCATCATACTAACAACTCAAACTGATCATTAGAAAATAATGGCAAAAAGAAAAGCTTGAAATCCTCTCTTTCAACTGCTATGTACAATAAATAATGTCATAGGCCAAAATATATAAAAGCTATCAAATAAATGTAAAGAGATTCATAATAATTGAAAAAAATATTCTGGGAAACAAACGGAATCAATCTAAATAAATTCTACTCAGCACTCAACACCAGCAACCGATTCTAAGGAAACAACTACAGTACTATTAGAAACTCTGGGAAGAGCTAACAAACTTTGTATCACTTCTGAACAATCACTGTTCTCTGCCACTATAACCAGTTTCTCCAGATATTTTGCGTGCTCAAACAAACACTTCATCAGTTCAGTAAGCTCTGTTGCTGTGTCATCCTCTATTAAGGGACTCCACTGTAAAATAACCTTTAAGATTTTCAGATTCCGCAACGAACCTATGATGAATATGTTTACATAGTTGTCTTCCAACTCATCCATGTCTTCACACCAGTAATTTAAGAAAGTGCAGTCCTAAGGATACAGAAGAACCACAAAACAGAATATAACTAAATGAGGGGTAAAAGCTTAACAACATATATCAACAATAGAAAAGCAAGTGAAACACTTGACAGAAATAAATATTGATAGACGAGATCTTTCATTAAGAAGATTCAGTACATTTTTTATGTTGCAGTTGTGAAGTTGTAGGAGGAAAATTTTTATAATGGCAGAGGTCCAATTTTCGTTGGTTGGACCTCTACCATTGTAAAAAATTTCGTTGTAGGAGATCAATGGGCGTGTAATAGCAACACTTTAATGCCAAACAAAACAGGAACTACTTAAGTACTCATTGTAAAAAATAGTCTTGAGTGCAGCACAACTAAATAGAACCTTAGCTATATCAAATACTATTCTCTCTAACTAAATAGAACAGACACATGAAGAAAAAGAACAAAATGAGTGAAGACGAAACAAAAGTATTTCGAAGCATTAAATCAGTTGAAAACATGCATACGTACCACTTTAAGATGTATTGTCAAATTCTCTAGACAAGGAGTTGAACTTAAGAGTCTGACAATGCCAAGGAAGGTATATTTGCTAATCCAAGAATTTATCGTCAATCGTTTGCACTCCATCAACGGTAATGAGACATCTTCTTTTTGCAATATCAACATGGAAATCATCTATACAAGAGATATAAGTAGATTCATCTAAGTGTATTGAGTAACATAATATCAAATTTATAAGGCTTAAAAATATACCAAACTATATATATAATACTACTCCCTCCGACCTCTAGTTTTACTCTCGTGCAATTTAGTGTGTGATTTACCACTTTGCACCTTGCCGGAAGGGCTAAAGGCAGCGGTCGGCTGAGGATTGTTAGGAAAATCGAGCTACCAGAGAAAGGAATATCTGTAAATCATTTTTAACCCCAGTAACAGCAGCAAATGTGATAGGTGTTAAAGGACCTGTTGACGATTTTACCAATTTTAAGTCCCCCGAAGAGGTACCTATTAGCAATTTATACTAAGAAGCCGGAGCTGCCATGTGCAGGAAGTACTGCACAATCCATCCCCACTACTACTGCTATAATCACTATGTCAAGGCACCCGACCGCAGGAAGACCAGCATCCCAAAACTAAAGGACAATCAATATTGGGCTAGACTGTTTACTGGTAACAGATTAGCATCGCGAGGAATGAATTTGGAGTATGTTTCATCTCCGAAGAAATATCAAAGGATTTAGGCCAATATCTTGTTGTACTGTCTTGTAAAAGACTATATCTAAAATCATGAGAAGTAGATTGCAAGGAGTGAAGTATATTAAAGAAATTAGCAAAGAAGAACACAAGCTGACTATATGAGGAAACAGGTGCATATGTTGTTGGGACCTATTCCAGTTTTGGTAATAAACAAAACTTTAATATTACTTAAAGCCACTAAATAGGTCATCTGTATACTAATATAAATAAATAAGAGATGAGCTATATATATTCATGCATGCATAAAAGACATAGTAGAGTAAACTGACCTCGATATACAAGGATGGGATGATTAGCTCATTAGCACAAGCTACGCTTGTCAAGTGATCTTTCACTATGCTTTTGTCAATTACATCATCTAATCCACGGTCATCATACAAGTTGTAAGTAAGATCAGCGTGGATCAAAGACGACAAGTCCCCAAGCCTAATTCCCACACCATCAAAATTCCCTGAAATCCTAAAATGTTGAACATATGGAGCAACAATTTCAAAGTAACACTCATCTCCCATATAGTTAAGAGGATGTGTGTGGTTACTCAATTCAAGTGTCGTACATTTTGGGGAAGTTAAATGCAACCGATGAAAACCACAAAAATAACACAGCTTAAAAGATTCCAGGTGATGACAATTTGATGTTATTTGTTTCATGTGTTCGTCACTGAGAAGCACAAATGTTAGTGTCAAACTCTTTAGGGATGTCCAATTGAGTTTACGATCTTCTGGTATTTTGCAAAACTTGAATTTTAGTTTTACAAGTGATGAACTGCTGCAAAGTTCCTGTGGCAAACTATACAGATCACTATCCAAATAATAGTCAAAGAAATCGTCGCAAGCCCTTAAATCTAGGTCAAGATTCTCCACTTTTTTCTTCAATACAATTTGAAGCCATTTGTTGAGTTTGGAACTATAATTTGACAGAGCAATGTTAGATCTGAAATGTAGAGTGAAGCTTTCAATTTTATAAGAGGTAAGAAGAGGTAATGCATTGTGGATGAAGGAAATAAACCTCTTAGCAGACCAACCAGTCTTCGAGGGGTAACAATTCAGGTCGTGGATACAAGTCCACATGTTTTGCCAACGTTTTGAGAGAATAGTTGTTGTGCAAGCCTCTGTAATTGGGATTTTAGAAAGAATTTCAACGATAAGAGAGTCTGGCAACGCACTGATCCAATCAATTCCAGTTTCTGCCTCAATCTTGACTCTTTTTGCACAATTGAGAGGGGATCGGTCCCGTTCGCCCATCCTCCTTGTCACACTGTTTTTCCCCTTTCAAAATTTTAGAAGCTATTTCAAGCGTCTGAGTTGAAATTTTGTGGGATGTAATAAAAGGTTTAGTCTGAAAATTTCAATGTCTACCTTTTATGGAAATTTTGCGCGATTCTACTTCAATTTGAATTGGGATTTTACAAAGTGGGTTTAATACAATTAGGATTTGTAGAGGCTATTTAATTCTAAATTCTAATTCATGTCTATATATAAGATATTATATTTCCTTAAAAGTATCTTGAAATATTCCACCACAAATTCATGGAATATTCATAAAGAGATCAAACTCTTGAATATTCCGCAAATTCATGAAATATTTATAAATAGATCAAATTTTATTTGGATATAAATAATTTAACCAAATACAAATGCGCAGTTAGTATTTGGATATAAATTATTTAAATACAAGTACTGTATAACTTTTTTTATTATTCCTTTCTTCCTTTACAATGTTATTTTACTATAAAATTTTTGAGTTTTTAAAATTTATTAAAATATAACAATCATTATAGAATTTCCTCTACTTTAATAATTATAATAACTTTAAGATTTTAATTCTCGTTAATAAAAGGAAAAATTGTATGAAATAGCAAACTACTAATTCAAATTAAATGGTATAGCCATAATTTATTTTAATTGTAATTCACAGCTAATATTCCCTTTTTTTGCCATCTGATTCGGTATACAATTAGCCATTTTCGGTATACAATTAGTCATTTTATACATTTCGGTATAAAATGTATACGTGTGTGTTTGTATAAAGCGAGAGAAAAGTGTATATACAAATACAAATATTTTCATCATATACACTTATAATTATACAAATACACATCTTATTATACAAATTATAATGTATATATGAATTTATACAAAACTGAACAATTTGTATAAAATTGGGTGTTTGTAGCGAATTATACAAATCAAAAGCTCCATAGCAAACATAAAAATTTTCTATGGAGCGCAATTATGCAAACTATAGTTATAACAGACAAATATGATTTTTATGTTTGTTATATGTTTTTTTTTACCCTCCCGTAGGAGCTCCCACCCCTTTTGCTCCCTTGGTGACTCGAACTCGCATCCTTCGGATTGGAAGTGAGGGGTGCTTACCATCCGAGCAACTCCCTCTCGTCATGTTTGCTATATATGAAAGTGCTCTAAATAAAATTGTTACATAACTACGAGTGTAGACCAACGTATGTTTTTTGAGTTTTGATTCCCATTAATAAAACAAGGGAATCAAAAGAACTGACAGGTGTGCTTGTTGAATCAAGATCAAGGATATAAAATTTACCTAAAATATAAAGGGAATACAGTGAAGGAATTTGTTATTTTAAAGATCATTTGTTTGGCCAAAAAGGAAAACTTAATTCTTTTCCTTTTTGGTTTCATATTTTTTGTTGGAGAAGGTATAAGGATTTAAGTGATAAGTGTAACATTACTACCACAATTTTCAGATTACGAGATATCAAGTTTGCTATGAAGAATTACCTATTGTTTAGATTAACAATGTTTTATTGTATTAGTTTGATTATTAGATATCTCTTTTTATAGGTAACGAGATAGATATCTCTTCATCTTTAAGTCATATTGTGCATACATCTCATTAAACTATGACACAAACAGGTTGTTATTTAAAGAGTAGAAGAATCATATTGTAAAGTCAACATATATAATCGATTAAAATAGTCTATTGAATAAGCATATATTCACGTTTGCACTTGCAAAAGAGATTGGCTTGGTACATTTTAGAGCACATACATGTTAGTTCATAATCTTAAACCTAAAATAATGGAACACAAATTAGATAGTTCAGTGATGAAAATTCTGTGATGAGTTTTCAGACATGCTATTTGAATGTGGTCACTAACCACATTTTTAATTAGTGATATTTTCTTTATGTATTCTATGTTGGATATTTTGTTATATAAATGTCTTAAATTGAACAGACACATTTGTTCATAAAAGAATATAATTGTTATGAAAAGTCATTTGTTCATGAAAGAGCATGATCTTTATAAAAAAAATCATCTATTCATGAAAGAACATGACTCTTATGAAAAGTCATCTCTTAAGTTCTGTAAAAATAAAGAATCTCTAGAAGTAGTTGCTGGTCCCCAAGTGGCCTACACTCGAGAACCATTGCTGGTCCCCAAGTGAACCTCATCCTGGCTGACTACAAGCGGAAGACTAACTCAAGCATACATAAGCATTAAATTGAAAGAAACGTTTAAAAACAGTTTACTGAATCTCAAAACTAAACTGAATATATTGAGTATGAAACATAAGTTTTAAATAAAACACCTAAAATTAAAAGACTCTCCAAAACAGTCTATCTATGAAGCCTCTACAATATAAAGATGAGTGTCGGGACAAGACCCATGACTGCTTAAAACTATTACTAATAACTCAAAAAACTGGAGTCCTCCACACTACTAAAAAACTGTCGAAAAGCGACGATCAAAATCGACGGACTGCGTCGCTTTTGTAACAACCCGAAAAAAAATTTAAGCTAAGACTTAAACCATCCTTTGTAGTGAGTAAGTCTTTCCGAGGAATTTAAAATTTCTTAAGTGTTAAGGTCACTAGATGTAGCACCTTGAGTTTAAAAAAGAACTAAATTGAAAATAGCAAAATCTGAAATTTTGCAAGTTATGCTTAAGTTATGAGTTTTGGGTCAACTTAAAATGACCATAACTCTCAGTACAAAATGATTTAGGTATTCCATGAGATGGAGAATAAAAGGTCTTTGAATTATCTTTCCAACGCCGCCGAGTTTGCTAAATTTCGAGGTTGGATGAGTGAGATATGCTCTTTTGAAGTCAAGTTGTCTAGTTAAGGAAAGTTGCCCGAAAATAGTAAGGGGTATTTTGGTCTTTTTCTTATCCAATCAGATTTAACTCGTTTTTAGTAAGGTTTTAAGGGTCTAATCCTATTAGGTTCATTTTTATAATCCTAATATACGCCTAGGGTTTTAGTTGAGAATTCAAGAAGAGAAAAGAAGAGAAAAGAGGAGAGGATCAAAGCGTTTGTCGATGTTCTTGAGTTTTGTTGCGGATTTTTCGCCATGGGATTGATCCCTAAGAGGTATGTAAGTTTCCAAAGTGTTGGGTTCATTCACCCATACGCCAAACATGAATTTCATATTCGAATTCGTTCCATAAAGATTGAAAGATTTAAGTTTTTGATAGGTGTACTTGAGGTTTCATTCTAAAACTTGTTTTGTTGGGGTTTTGATGATTTCTTGATATGAAAGTGAGTGTTTTGAGGGTTGTATTGAGTAGATTATTATGTACTTATGTTAAAAAATCGAATCCAAGTGATTCGGGAAGAAATCATTCGAATCTAGGCAAAATAGAGTGAGAAAATCAGCAAAGAAAGTCGTCGGCGTTTTCTGGGTTGGGGACTGGCACCCCACGCCAGCCAGAGCTCCCCAACCACTCCTCTAAAGTTTAGGGGCTGGCTCCCCACGCTACTCAGTACTCCAGGGTCGCCTTCCCCCATCCGTTCTTCGTCGTTTCGTCCATTTGAGTTTTTTTGAAGGGTGTTTTTACTCCCCTTTGATCCTAAACACTCTAAGCTACTTCTAAACACCTAAAAATCATTAATAACATGAATCATAACCTTGAATTCATAATTCAAATTCAAGGTAGAGTTAAGAGTTAAGTCTTGAAAGTTCTTTCGAACATTTTGAGAAAATCCCTTGGAGTCTTTTTGAAAAGTCTTCTACAATTTCTATTAACTTGTTTCAAGACTCAAGCAAGTGAGTATGTGGATGAGGAGAATGTATTCATGAGTCTACTTTATCATCATAAGATCCTTCATATAATGAACCATAACTCTTGAATTCATAATTCAAATTCTAGTGAGAGTTAAGAGTAGAGTTCAAGATAGCCTTTGAGTTCAATTGTGAATCCTTGAGATCAACTATTGATTTGAGCTAAGTTTTTAGGAAGTAAGTATGAGAATGATAAGAGTCGTATACATGAGTTCCATATTGTTATTTAGACCCTCGAGTCGAGTCGTTCATTCCCATAAATTCCGCATGAACTTTAAAAATTGAGCATCTTTGAGAGGAGTAGTATCTTCAAGTTCTAAGTCTTGAGTATCGAGTTCCTTACCCTTTCGAGAGTATATTCCTAATCATGGAACGATTACATGTTACCCATGAAGTGCTTGAGTTGAGTAGTTCATGCCCATAATTCCGCATGAATCCTATAAGTAGAGTAGTATTGAGATGAGAAGTATATTTGAGTCCTTCAGTTGAGTAGTTCATGCCCATAATTCCGCATGAACCCTATGAGCTGAGCATTCTTGAAATAAGTAGTATCATTAAAGTTCTTGAGTTCTGAGTTGTTGAGTCTCGAGTATTGAGTTTTAGTTATGGTTATTGAAAACCTTGAATTGAGTCGTTCACGTCCATAATTCGGCATGAACTTTATTTTGAGAAGTCTTTTACAAATTTTTCTAAAATTGTTTTAAAACTTGAGCACTCGAGTTGAGAAAGAGTAGAGTCGAGTTAATTTTCTTTAAAATGATATATGGGAACTAAGTATTCCCAAGAGTAAATGTTTTCACATTTAAAAGAGAAGGAAACTGAGATTTCTAAAAGAGTTTTGAGCAGTTTGAGTAACATATCTTTTTAGAGAAAGATTTTGAGTAATAATCTCAAACCACAGAAAGAGTTATGCTTTTAAACATATGAGCTGAGTATTTTGGGAGTAGTTTTGAGCACCGATATGGGGACGAGTTTGAGTTTAGATAATTCAAAGTCCCCATAAACCATGTAGCCAACATGCGTAGAAAGGGTCATACTTTTTAGATGATTCATTAATGTTTTTTAGCATAGACTAGTGGATCCACTTAGTTGAGAGGTCTTATACCTTGGAAAAGTGTAGGACAGTTCTGGCAGTGTGGGCGAGATGATGTATCATCACATAGCTCATAATGATGGTTGTCGATTAGATAAATTCCCATATAATTATATTGTGTTTTTATATACACGCTGAGTATTATTATATTTTTCAATACATTGAGTTGATATCTACAGTTTTACAACATTCCAT